ATAGGTTTATCAGTGTAAATAAGCAAGAAATGGATCATTTACAGATACCTTGTATATCCATATATGTTTTAATTCGATATTTTCATATGTTTTAGTTAGTTTTAATAGTTTGTAATGCACATTTGATCATTTGATATATGTTTATTTGCGCAATATCAAGCAATAAAAATAGTATTATTATTAATAGGAGCTAGCTAGAGCTTGTATTGGAATATAGCTGCTATATATCTGTATTATCGGGTTATCCATAAAAGTAACGAGTCGTTCAGGCGAAAGGTGATTGTACACTGTATAAGCAAAATATTTTGAAAGTTTTACTGGTAGTACGGGCAACGAAGAAATCCGGTTTCATTACCGACGAGGATATGACAAGAAATAAAACGAGATTTTGGTGATTATTGCCATCAACAAGTGCTATACTAACATTTAATAAAACCGAAAAACACAAACTCAGAGCACAACACGGTGCCACAATCATTACCATAATCAGACAATCATTGTTACGATTATTATCGCACTAAAACTTTCTTTAAAACATTGCATTCCATTTGTCCACGTCATTGTGCCACAATGACTGCTTATTTTTTGGAAATTTCGAATACAGTGGAACCGACATGAAACAGAATCATTCACAATAATCAGAAAATGCGACATCGGAAAGTGTGGCCCACCTAACCTAAAAGAAGTACAAAATATGGAAACATGAAAAGAAAATCGAACGTTTATGTTCAAGTTCCATCTTCTACGTAAGTTGTAGAAAGACATTTTTCGCCTTCTGTTGCCACAAGTTCTTTCACTCAATAATAACCAAATATTGAGGTGTCTCTGCCGAGAGCTTTCAATTATGTTTGTTTCGCCAAAAGCTAAGGCCATGATGATAAATCATCCAAGAACTGTTTAACGCAGTACCAGTCAAGCATCTGCCCATTTTTGACTTGATATTATTCGCCGTAATTCAAGGAAAACACCACTTGAAGACCCAAACATTCTTATAAGTTTTTTAACGCTGACATTTCCAGCTACACCACCACTAAAGACGTAAATACGCGGCAGAATCTGAAAAGCCAGCCTTTGGGTTAAATCAGGAAAACTAGTATTAACCGGCATTGCACAGTTGATTGTAAACGTAACATGTGTGGTTAGGCCACAAAACGTTTTAAGAAAATAAGACCTGATAAATAATTTTGCTTAGAATTTCATTTCCATGTGAGAGGTCTTATTGTTGTTGTTGTTGTTGTCGATGATGATACTATTGGGTTCACTGGTCCTCCGACCATCCATTTCAAGTTTATTACAAAGTGCGACAAGTGTTGTTAGAAATTTCGACAAATTCTGTTCTGGAAAAAAAAAAAAATCAATTAATTATATATGCTAACATACTATGTTTTTTAAAGTTGAGCAAAAGTGAGGAATTGACTTTAATGCATTCCTGCAGAAGCTTGAATTTACCTTTTTACGCGGTCTTATCCAAGGGCGTAGCAAGCCATTTTGTCTTTTAAGCCCGAGTCATAAAGAAGTCCTTGTGGAGGAGGAGGGGGATAAGGACATAAAAGCTAACCAAGTAAACGCTGACCTATAAACAATTTTTTTTATAGCATAGCCGCTCTTTTTTGCCAAAAGAAAATGCTGCGTTGAACGCGTAATTAGCAGGGAGTTATCGAATCAACGGACGGACTCTTTCAGATAAAGCCTACCGTTATAGTCAGCATCGGGGGAGGCAATATCTGACCATATTAAGCATCTTTGACTCGTATATTTAAGAACTGAGACAGATTGAGACCGTCCAAAAGTACGAGTTTTTAACCTAAATCATTGGAGTAAACAAAAGGACCCTTCAGCTCAGCGAATCTACTAAAAAACCAATATGGCGTTCACCGACAGATTTTCGTAGTGATGTATGTATCAGGCCGATCGCGGTGACAGATATTGAGTTGCAGTTCCAAGGCCCTTTTATCTCTTGATTTTGACCCAATTCTTGTTAAGCCCGAGCTTAATGGCTTAAAGGCAGCTACACCACTGTTATCTTAGCTGTTAGCTATGGAAAATATTAGTCTACAGATATTTAAAAAAAAAGCCATTTTTGTCAAACTTTTAGCGCGTAGAAAAGAGAGAAAAACGCGTAACGGGCCAAGCAAGCGATAAATTGATCGATTCTTTCAGTGCACAGTCAACTGTAGAGCAACAGTTCGAGTAATCTGCGAATTTCAGTCGATTTATAACTAAACAGAATTCAGTTCAGTCAGTTCATCCTGTCCATACAGCTGGGCTTCACTTAGCCTGCACAACAGGTGCTTTATGAGCCAAGCGAGGCGAATGCGGCATTTTGCGCGAAGCGCGAGACGAGGGAAGAAGAAAAATAAAGCTTTATTTTTTTCTCGCCTCGTCTCGCTCATAAAGCGCATGTTATGCAGGCTAGACTTCACTAGTTCGTCTACCTTTCATCCTCTCTTTGACTTCCGCAGCGCCCGTCATTCAGCCGCAACCCCGGCAAAGCCAGGATATGCCGTTACACCTAAATGTAAATCCTTCGACTGCTCCAGATTTTTCAGAGTGACATGATTGGAAGGGCTGTGTTTTCGAGTTTTGATCCATAGGGCATTGCAAGAGTTAGTGAGTCGACATGACAGCCAGTCATGCTCTGGTCCAATCACACTTTCAATGAAATAAATTTAACCAATCAATGAATTTGTTTGTGAACTTGTTTGCCTCTTTTGCGTGCGCTCAATCGTAGTATTAGATCACAACTTGTGTTTTTTTTTCCAAACTGTTCAAGTGCTCAAGACTAGTGTGTAAGGGCCCGTAAGTAAGCAGGATTTAACTGCTTAAAAGGGGTATCCCGCCGGTCCATACGATCTCTCTCAGTATGGTTACACTACCTATCATTTAGACGTGATCAAATTAATATGACAGATCATGTGAATAGACAGGCGGGTTACCCCACCTAAACGGGTTACCTCACCTACCTGGGGTTCCCCACCTCTATGTAAACAGGCCCTAAGTAAGTAAGTAAAGCATTTATTTATACACGATAAGATTACAGCAACGCTGATGTGGTCGTGTGAAAAATTAAAAAGTAATAAAAACTATTTACATAATTACTTTCTTGCTGGAATATCGAATCGGACGATGCCCTTGGCTTAGTTATTGTTCTCAAAATCTCACATTTGCCTTCGAACCTTCGCTTCTTAGCCAAGTGTTTATTTAAACGATTCAGGAGACAGTAACATAGGTCACCGCGCTTTTTGTACTCTGTTGCAACAAACAGTGTAGCTTAGGATGAACAATTTAAATCAACTGTCAAGTTCAGTCCAGCTCGATAGCAGGGCGAAAGCCAATTTTATATCTTTCAAGACCTACAACACCCTCAAGCGTAGACCCTTAGCACTTTTGAGAAAGGCAAGAACTGAACTGATTTTCTCCCNTACACCCCTAAGCGAGACGACGAGCATCCCCGTCTTTTTCATATGGGAGTCCCCCCCCCGGGGATTTTCTTTTCCAAGTATAAACTGAAGCCTCGCGGGGAAGTAGTGTTCATCATTCGACATATAGATAAAGTGAGAAAAGTCAAATTCTGCATTGTGCAAACCGAGGTGCAATTTGTGCTTAGTTGGAGACTCCTGCACTAAGATAATATGTTCGGTCTGCTAAAACGAGAGTTTATCAGCTGACAGGTCAAGATTTGGTCCTTCCAAACTAGTAGAACTAGAGGAGTATCCAAAATAGACCTTTTCACTGTTTTGGAAGCAGTCTTGACGAGTAGGCAACCAGGTGAGAAATTACAGTACTACAGTCGACTCCCAATAACTCGAACCCTCGCTAACTCGAACCTTGCGCTAATTCGAACCAAAATAGATTTCCCCTGGATTTCCGTCATACATTCATTGTAATTTTACCCTCGGTAACTCGAACCCTCGATAACTCGAACTCCCGCTAACTTGAACCAATTTTCGTTTCCCCTCAGGCCATTTTTTATATAATTTTACCCTCGATAACTCGAACCATGTTTTGAGCCCTTAAAAAGTCGGGAAAAAAGCCGTATACTGGCGTCCGAAACATTGAATTCTGGATTTCTTATTGACGAGTTGTAGGAGTATAGTTTACTAGTGGAGGCTGACGTTGATTGTCACAGTATGCATGCTCTATTTAGGCTATCTTTTGTTATGTTACGTTCTGATTTATAATCTAGGAGTATCTTTTAATTTCCACTTGACATTTCTACAATTAAAGTTGATTAAAATGTTTATTGTGCAGTAAAAACTGTTTTTTACCTTACTCTTGGCTATTTTCTTCGAACTCCCGATATTCATAAACTCGAACCTTTTTTCGATTTCCCTTGAAGGTTCGAGTTATCGGGAGTCGACTGTATATTATTCCTGCAATCATTGTTGTGAATTAAGGAATGGAGCGAGAAACCCCGGCGTAGACAAGGAACGATACGGAGTGTCTTTTGTAGGAGACCAAACATAGATCTCTCGGGAGGGGGGCTGGACCGTGAAATATGGTGGACTCTCTTACACTCTTTACTCTTTACTCTTTCCCGTTTACCTTAATATACGTGTAACTGATGACTTGCATGCATAATAAAGTATATTCAAATGACTTCGAATAGTGTTTGTACTGAGAATCTCTATCGAATAATTTCCGTAAAACGACTGTTCTTAACAAATATAAATTAAAATATAATAATAAAATAATCTTTATAGAGGAAACTCCCATCACATAAAGTGGTTTTCAGGGAGGTCCTTTGACTAAAATTAAAGAATATTAAAACTACTAACAACGATCAAATCTAAAAACCTAGTGGTTACATAGTTAAAAGGCTAAAAAGGCTAGACGACTAAAAAAGGCAAAAAAAAAGTGAAAAAAAATACAATCAGACTAAAAGACTTAACTATCAAAAAAACAAAGGCTAACGACTAAAAGGATAAAATGAAAATTTGCAAAGTACAATTTTTGGCTCTTAAACACGTTTTTAGGTCCCGTTTGAAAATTTTGCAAAGCATAGGTTTCGTTAAAAAATTCGGAAGAGTTGACCAGTCACTAATATATCTATAGTAAGTTGTCCTTTTTCCCCATTCCGTTTTCGGCTTTGGAATTCTAGATAAGTAACTGTTTCTTATGTTATGTCCATGCAGGTCTCTTAAGGTTATTTTAAAAGTTTCTAGGTGCTCTGGTATTTCCTCTTTAATGGCATTTTGAACCGCTGAGCATCGGTGAGCGAAATGTCGTCCAGCCAGAGGGATCCATTGTAGGGAATCAAGTTTGTCTTCAACGTTCATCCGGGCCGCATTGCTACTTGTCCTCTTTCCAGCTGTTCAAACAAAAACGAGGTCACACAGTCACTTTAACCGATTTCTACCGTTGCTTGTAAAGGACCCTTTTGTGCAGAAGTTTTAGGCAGTTTCTGTGGTAGGTTCTTTGATGAAGAAGACCACTTTATCAACTCCACATCGTCCCTCCACTTGTGCCGCCATTTTTTAAATTTGTTGACGCCGCCTCGCTTTGGCGCGCTAAAATCGTGAAAGCGAGTCTTCCGGAAGTCAACCAGTTTACCGGAAACTGTTTCCGCGTGGTCCGCGTAGTTCTAAAAATAACTTTTTTGAAATTAAGATATCCCGGCCAACGCCCTGAGAGTCCCTCTCTGTCCTATTATGGCTCTTGAGGGAATTGAGTGCTTCGGATTATGAGATGTTATTACCTAGAATTCTTTTCGCAAATCTATTCTGGAGCATTGTAAACGATCCATTTCAGATTTCAAACTAGGCTGATCTCCTCATACAATGTCACCGCAGTCTAAATGGGGTAAAACTAAGCCGTTAAAATACGCAATGCGAGTCTTATTATCGAGCATATAAAACATTCTGTTAAACACAGACGATGACCTAGCTTCTTTAACAAATTACTAATATATGGCTTCCAACTCCATTTTTCATCCATTGTTACTACAAGGTATTTACATGATTGCACACGCTCAACTTGTGTACCATTCATTCATTTGTAAGTCGACATCATCAAATAACGAAACCATAGTCTTACGCCCGGCAAGCATGAGTTTAGTCTTCTTCACATATGTGGCCAGTTTGTTTTTATTGTACCAGTCGCATATCCAGTAAAAAGTCTCGCGCTAAGATGGCGTTAAGCTCCACGGAAGTTGATGCTGTACAAATGAAAACTGCGTCATCAGCATACAGAATCACCCGAGCGTTTTTAACTGCGTTTGGCAAACTGTTAACATATATGTTGAATAGCAAAGGGCCCAAAATGCTCCCCTATGGCATCCCGTGTGTGATGGCACGACAATCAGATAATTCACCATTTATCAATACTCTTTGACGTCTGTCAGCAAGAAATGATCGGAACCAACGCAGTGATCTTGAAGACAAACCTAGAGACTCTAACTTCCCCAGGAGATTTTTATGATTGAGAGAATCAAATGCCTTCGAAATTTCGACAAACCATAGACCGGTAATTGTAAACAAAAGCTTTCCCACCTGAAAAAATTTGAGAGCGTTACATGCAGCTACGTGCGCTACACCCACAAATTTAAATTGGTTTATTAAGGTCTATTAATTTTTCTGTAAAAATATTTCTTCCCACCGACTAACATTTCCCGGAAAATTGCAAGCAAATTTAAAGCAAGCGTCTGGAGAAACTTAAGCACAGGTACCGCCCCAACGATTGCCAGTGGAATCCTTTGCTGTGTAGCCAGACAGTCTGCTGAGTAGCTTTAGCTTAAAACTCTTTTTTTTTTTTTCAGAACAGCCGTTTTACGGAACTTATTTGACATTAAATTCTCATACAAACATTGTAATTTCTGTTACATTATCTGATATTACTGGTTAACTATATTTATGGGATTGCAGAAAGAACCAGCTGCTTCAAAATATCGAAGGTTTCAAATTTAAAGTAAGAATTAAATACCAAGTTGAAAAATATATTTCCACCAAGAACAATAAATTAGAAACCTTTTATGGAAAGAGGCCAAAAGACCTTCTTCCTCTTTAATTAAGTGCGTGCGTAATTAAAATTGTAATTTTTTATGACCGAATTTATTCGAATTTAGAGCCCAACCTCGAATTAGCGCCCACCTCGAATAAGCGCCAATCCCAAAGGCAGAAAAAGTTAAATTAGCTGCAAAAACCGTAGCCTGCGAGCAAGCTCTCGCGAGACTCGTTTCACTCGCCCAAATAGGAGAGCTTGCACGCAGTCTACAAAAACTGTGGACGAAGATCCTGCTAGTTGTAAACGTTGGATCTCTAGAAAAGAGATCAAATCAGCCAAAATATAAAGAACCAAGAACAAGAAGTCCAAAGACTACTGCAAAGCTGATTTAAAACAACGTATATTGTTNCCTCGAATAAGCGCCCACCACCATCCCACACACTCAAACTCAAATAAGTGCCGACCCTCACCCCGCTTCCCGCTCCCGGTGGGCCCCCCTGCAAAAAAAAATTGAATAAGTACTAATAAGAGACTTCCCCGAGGACGGAGTTTTCGTCAGAGTAGTTTACAGGAACCTTGCTTTGTTACATCTTCGCGTTTTGTTATTATCATTTATTGTTTAGTTGCAAAATAAATTTGTCGCGCGCGCCTCGCGCGTTGATGGCCCAGCGAGGCGAAAACTCGAGTTGCGAATATCTCCATAGATCTCTTGGGTGTCCGCGGTTGACGTCATCCAGTTGTGACTTCGGGGTGCATTTTAGGGTGGCCAGGCAACGCTACTTGAAGTGCGAATGCAAATGCTGTGGTGCAGTATCATGTTTTTCCGGGCATGTTTTATTCAAAAGCACGTTTCACTCCGGCTTTTTACCTTCAAAACCTTGCTTTTCCCTAAAATCTGTACCTTTGAATTCATGTTACACCGAGGCAAACCAACAATGAATTGGTTCTTTCCCGCCGATCGATGTGAGCGATTGATCAAATCAAAGACTGGTTTCAGCTCCGTACATCCATCCGCCGTTGAACCCGAGGTTGAATTAAGACCGAAATGACGCAAAATGGCTTTGAAATACGCCTTTAAGCTAATTTTCCTCAAATGTATCTTTGAATTCATGATAAATACAGCTCCACTAACTTGAAACACTATAATCACTATTGTCGATGCTCAACCCTAATCACTATGTTCAGTGCTTAACCCCCTAAAACCCAGTAACGTTTTTCGCAAAGGTTTAAAATGTCATAACCTAAGAGCATAAATATAAACATTACGTATTGAACGTTAGAAGACTTTTTTCAAAATAAACGTCACATCTAAGGCGGGGCAGATGTGGTCAGATCTATGGCTAGTACAACTGATTAGCGCTGAATTATTGGCTTAAGTTGAGAGATCGAGGAGGGTGTTATCCGCCTTGTCGATAACACCCCGTGAAATAGGGAGATGATGGCTCCAGTAGGAAAACTGTTAGAGTGAAAGAGAGAGAGAGAGAGGCTGTGATATATGTAGAATCAAGTTACATAGAACTGAAACAGATGTTTTTTCTGTTTTCACAAGGTATAGTGTGACAATTTTCCATTTAAGTAAACAAAAACGGTTCTTTTCTCTTGACCCAACTCACAACTAAAATTCCCAGAATTTTAAGGTAAAATAGGAATTAAACAACAGAACAATAAGAAATTTCGTAATTTGCATGGGGTCGCTTGACAGTAAATTCTTAACAGGTTTGAGTTCGTCGCCTAGCAAAATTATACTCATTTGGTACCACACCTTTGTAACTGCGACCGATTAATTAGAACTGTGATCCAATCCTTACGGCATTTCCGACCTTGTTATCGACAAACGTTAACAAAACAAAACGAATGATTTTCAGACCATGGCTAAAAAACGTTACTTATCACAAGGCAGATTACAAAACAAGCTGTAAATCGGTTGTTTTTACAAATAAAGTGGGGAAGAATTCTCGATATTTTGTGGGCGTTTTTAATAAACCAATTATTCCACTCGCGCTTGTCGGATGTAAGATGATTATAGCCAACTCGGGCGATCTCTAAGGCTGACTATAAGGCTTCAAGTGAACGTCTTTTTGCAAATTTGAAAATTCTTGATATTTTTAGTATCTACTCTCTCCAAGTAAGTTCTTTCATGTACCTATATCATAATGATGCTTTACCTATTTCTTTTACTCAACTCTTACAAACTGGAAATCAGATTCATCAATATTCAACCAGATACTCTGACTTTTACCGACCTCATACCCGTAGAACAAATACTAAAAAAAATTTCGATCCTGTTTTAATGTCCTAGAATATGGAATTCATTATCGAAAAACAAAAAACGCCTCGACTTTTAATATATTCAAGCGTGTGATATAAAACCATTTTTGAGGGACAGAGAGGATGCAATCTAAATACCTTAACACTTCATATCTATATTCTTCTCTAAACACACTTAATATTTACTTTAAAAAATATACGTCTTTTTTCTTTATTTTTAAATGTCGCCTAGTATCTAAGTTACTAGACAATCTCCGAATATCTTTGACGAGTGGAAAAGTTATCAGAAATTTTTAGCCTCACTCAAACTTTAGAAATTTCTAAGCATTATATGCTCTTTCGAACAGTTGTTACACAAAAAAGGTCGTCAGTGGGTGTCCCTAACTTATAACATTTGTGACCTCAATACCTTTTCTATAATGCATTACAATTAACATCCACGGCACGCACGAGGATGATACAGCTAAGTAGTTTTAGCGCTCAATGTGATTGTACGAGACGCCTTATCATTCTTCAAACCGAAACCTTTCTTCAACAATAGAAGAGGGAGAATTCATGCAAAGCTTCTAATACTGTTGGGATTTTTTGTCAGTTGTTATAGTGCATCATTGCATTTGTTATAGTGTCAGTAATTCATACTGGCCCACAGTATGTATGCGGTTACCGTAAGACCCATGTGCTCTTTGACTAATAGCCTGCGCGCAGACACTTTAAACCTTGTCTATATCCACAGTATATGCGATACGTGGGCCGGCTGCACCGCAGGCTATTTGATTAATGGAGTGATTAATACAGTTCTTTAGCTAGTCCGCCATCTTGCGTGCAGTTGTCGGTTTGCCCGAGAACATAACATTTCTGGCGACGAGAAATCGAGCGACCATGCCAAACCTCGGCAAAATAGGAGAGTTCAATTCAGCTACTACAAGCATCAATCGCTACCTGGAGCGACTGGAACAATATTTTGTGGCAATCAGCGTTCCCGCCGATTCTGCAGAGTCACACAAACGAAGAGCAATCCTACTTTCTGTTATTGGCGCCAAGGCTTACGATGTTGTTTCGGAAGCCTGCTCACCGATTCCTCCTTCTGAGAAAACGTATGCACAGCTCACCACTATCCTAAAGAATCATTTCGCACCGAAGAAACTGGTTATTGCCGAAAGATACCGATTCCACAATTGTACACAACACGAAGGCGAGAGTGTCACAACGTTCGCTGCTAATCTGAAACATCTGGCTTCAACTTGCCAGTTCGGCACACACCTGAATGAACCTTTACGCGATCGTTCCGTCTGTGGTCTTCGCAGTAAGGAGACACAAAAGAAACTGCTAACCGAGGAACACACTTTAGATGTAGCACTGAAGGTCGCCCTCGGCGCCGAAGCTGCCGAAAAGGATGTTGCTGCGTTCTCGCAAGATAGTTCAGCTTCCGTTAACAAAGTCGACTCTGGTAATTGTCGAAGTTTTCAGCCTGACCAACGTCGTAAGGGTCCTGGAAAACGAGGCAAGTTCAATTCCTCCGGTA